GTTACTTACCTTGCCTCTAACATCTTGATAACTGATTGTATTGATTAGTTGAACAAGGAAAATAATACATTGTCAATAACAAAATGTATCTATATGCAAAGCACATTGCTGCCATGTATATTTAACAGTGTTAGAGCATTTAGGAGTACATTTAGTAATAACATTTTCATCAAACATTAATCGCACTGCACTAATATTACTGCCAAGATCTTTTGCTGTGTAATCATACATGGCAACAAATTATTTGCAGTGTATATGATTTTGTGCTCTCTTCTATACTTACATTTGGCAACTGAAGGACATGGGTCTAACTGTTCTCGATTTATTTAAAACTAAAGCAGATCTGCATTCATTATAAAGTTTGTTGAAAAATACATTCCGTTATTTTTGATACAGTTTTTTTAAGCACCATCTTCTATTGATGGCAACACAGAAGTGCCAGAAACTGCAGTTCTTCTAATGGCCACTTGAGGCTGGTTCCAGCAGTGAGTCAGTCTCCATAAGGCCCCATATTAAACATGTTGACAACCTGGTACAAAAAACAGTATTGGTTAAGGATGTGGCCACTTTGAGTGACTGGCGAGTACTGTCATAGCACCGTTTCAGTAACCAGGCTTCATTCGGCCTGACTGAGTTCCACCTCTTTACCCAGTTTTGGATTACCCAAGAGCCAGTGGAGTCAGGACTACCAAAATGGCGACGGCCAGAGCCGACCACACTGAGCTTAACAATGGCTCTTCAAAAGCCTATTGGTGGCATCATTGAGACTACGTCCATTTTTAATTTTTTAATTTTCTCATTTAGGAATAACTTTACTTTATTCCTTCTAGCAGTCAGAAATCACTAAATGTGGCTTTAAATGCAGAGTATATAATTTCTGCTGCTTGGGGGTCTCTCATCAAAACGATAGCAAAATACATAGTTTGATGACATCATGAAGAGGTGTGGGATCATGGAAGTTGTTGTTGTCTTCATTGTTAAACAAGCACCATTGCCGATGAAAATCTATCTGACTTGACTGACAATAATTATTTCCACGGACAAGGTTTTATTTAAGTTTTGTTCACATTACTTTTAGTCACATTTGCTGAATTGCTTTGTCACTCTCTCCTAGAAGTTGAAACGTTACCTTAAATAAAATTACAGCTTGCTTAGGGTTTGAATATTGTTGGAAACATTTGGGATAATGTAAGTACACTGCCTAACAAAATATATAACATAGGTCTAGTGGTTTTTAATAATGTTACGGCAGGAAAATGCATAAGGTTACATATTTTACCTTAAAGAAAAAACTGTTATTGCTGGTTAAGACCCTATCTACACAAGTTTCAAAACAACATTAAGGTAGCTAATGTAGTGTGGCATGTTTTTGTGTACATTTGGCATTAATTGGTTAGGCTTGGATTAGCAGCTTTGGGTAAAATGCAACTCACAAACAATCACACACATTTGTTTGGCTTGAAAGGGTTTCTGGTAATGTTTGAAAGAGGTATAGAGAACTCTATTACGTTAGAACACTGTTGCATTCAAAGGCAGAAAGCAACAAGTTTGCCCAGTCAGAATTGCTAAATTTAATTTAGATATCAAAAATTCAACCCCTTTATTTTAACTGTAAAATCTGGTGAAGTAAGCCCCTGGTCCCCTCTGTTGAGAAGCTTTTACTGATTATAATCTTGTAGCTGTGTCGGCACTGCAAACAAATTGTTATCATGCTGTTCAGCTGTTTGTGAAATTGCCTAGCATATGGGATTTTAAAAGGGATTCTTTTATGTTGAAATTTGAACAAAATCAGCTCAGTCAATGTTGTATTGATGTAGCAAGTGCCTGATCTGGCAGTGTTGTTTCAGTGTATTACTCCAAAGGGCTACTGCTGCTTGGCAAGACCTGGTCATTACCTCCGTGATTTATCACAAAATGCTTGTTTGGTTGGTGATTCTGTTTCTGTTGTACTTGTTTGCCATATATAATTAAAAAAGTTCTATGTCACATTGCTGTTTTGCTTGTTTGCTGTTCAGTGGAATTCTGTGAATATGGCCCAGATATGGACTGCATTCTGCGATAGAGACTTTCCTTACATCATAACTCTGATCTTTATTTGTTTGTCCCTCAGACCTGAGAGCATGGCCTCACTTCTGCCCCATAGCTCCAGAACACCCAAAGCCCCAGGGCTAAAATATTTTGAGACACGAAAAACACAAATGGATCAGACAGAGTCAAGGCCAGCAAGAACATTTCCTAATGTCCAGCCAACACGTGTTACGTGTTCACTTAAGCAAAACCCTGATTTTCAAGATCCAGCATCTGCCTCAGTCAAGGAACTTCTGTTTAAACCAAGAAGTCACGTATCCAAGATGTCCATTCAGTTAGGGAATCCAGTAGCCGAACCAGAGCCTGTTCAGCGTGAAGCCCTTTCTCCCACCAACCCTGAACCTACTTCCATATCACTCCAGGGACCTTTGTTGCACTTGCCTCAAATTGCTACAACCTTTGATACTAAACCTATTGGAAGAATAGCAGTGGCCCATAAAAAAGAAGCTGTAACTATGGATTTAGGGTAAGTGTAGTGTGGTGCTCTGTCAGTTAAACCCCAATTGTATAGTCTCAAAAATTAATCTAAGTTCAATGCAAAAGTAAATTGTGATATTTGAGTAGTATTTAAGTGGATTTTGTTTAGGCATTTTTAACAACTTTCTAAAGTACTTCAGTCTTTTTCTTCTGACATCAATCTTTGGTATACTCTACTCCTTCAGAAATGAGAGCATGGCTGCCTCAGTGTCATCTTGTCTCAGAAACGATAGTTCTGCTTGTCCTCCAATGGTGTTGAACATAACACCAGAAGTTGAGTCTGGAGAATGGTCCATTGCGAAAAACTCACAGTCGGAGAAGCCACAAAGAGACACTCGTAAAATCAGCCCTGCTGTTCCAGTTATAGATAAGAAAATCAAATGCAACACATCTGCCTCTGACAACGTCACTACAAGATTGGAATCTTATTTTGGGATTCTCTCAGCACAGCAGCCCAAAACAGGCAATACATCAAAACAAAGAGAAGAACCTAATGTGAATTTTGCATCATCTTCCTCAAAAAGCTTTGTTGTGGAAGATTTGGACCCTTGTATAGAGAAAGAAAGAACTGAACATGTGGATATGGATAAAAGACCATTGTTTGAAAGTGATAAGAGAGTTACACAGGAATTTATGCTACCAAACTCTGCAGTCACTATAGAAGAAAAGTGTGTGTACACGTCTATGGTGGAACATGGTCCATTGTGTCCAAGAGGGAGTTCTGTTTCTCATTTATCATCCATTTTACAGCCTGAAGCTCAGATTGAAGAAACAATGAGAGTGCCGAGTATGATTAAGTTACTATCAAGTTGCCCACAATATTCTAAGATTCCTGGCATGACATGTTTACATCAGTCACAAGTTATAGCTTGGCTGGATGATAGGAGGTTATTGTTTCGGAAGTTACCCAGCCACAGATTTCCCTTACTCCTGTATTCAAATTATGTCAGTTCCCTTTATGAGGGTAGTACAGGAACTGCAAAAATGGTGCACTTAACACCAACCTGCTCCACGTCTGCCAGTATTCCTGGATTCCCATCCTCTTTGAAACGGGAGCCAAATATTACTCACCTTTTACCTACATGTCCCAGAATTTGCAGGATTCCAGGGTTAGCTTGTGCTGGATCAATGACTGTATATGGAAAGAGTGTTTGGGGCAGACATTCTTTATGGACGAAACCAATGCAGACAAAAGAAGCATTTGTTTTGAACATGTCTTGTGTTCAGGAACAAGCTGTCAGTGATACTAATATGATTATAGTAATGGTGGCCATGTTGCCAACATGTCCTAGAAAGGCCAGTGTTCCAGGGTTTCCTTCTGCACCATTGCAGAAGGTTTTAAATACTCCAAGTATGGCCAGTCTTCTCCCAACATGCCCCAAACAGACAATGATTGCAGGCATGCCATTTAGACAAAGAGTTACGGCAAAAAATGACAGCTGGCATTTTTTGAGGGAAATGAAAGGAATAAATGGACCATTGAATCCTGTCCGGGTTCAGGAGTCAAAGTCAAAGGATGATAAAGAATCTATGAAACATATGGTAAATCTATCATCATCTTGTCCCTGGAAAGCAAAAATTCCTGGTTTCCCATCTGTATCACAAAAAGAACCCAGTGTGCCTGGTGTTCCATTTGTACCAAGCCAATATCCCTGCATGGCAAATTTTCTGCCTACTTGCCCAAGAAAAACAAGAGTCATTGGTTTACCCTCTAAGGAGCCAGTTAGTGCTCAAGGTGAATTCTTGACTCTAACCAAGCATATTTTGATGGAGAAGCCCTTGAGTGTAGGTGAAGTCTTGATTCAAGATATTTCCCCTGTAGTTGCTTCTCAGGATCTCGACAAAAGCAAAATGTTCTGTTCAGTGGCAATGTTGCCCTCATGCCCTGTAAGAACTTGCCTTGTAGGTATGCCTACAGGACCCCAGAAGCTGTTACCGAGTATTGTCAGTTTTGTACCTACATGCCCTAAACTGACCCAAATTCCTGGTATGCCATCTCGAGATCAAAGCAGAGGAAAACAGAACAGAGATTGGCATGCCTCAAAGAGATTAATTAACAAGAGATCAGAGGAGACAAGACACGCTTACATTGTTCAGTGGTTACCGAAAGAGACAGAAAGCCTTAAAAATATGGTAGATATGTTCTTAAGTTGCCCACAAAAAGCCAATGTTTTTGGCTTACCCTCTGCTCCACGACAAGAACCCAGTATGGTTAATGTAATGCCCTCATGCCCCAGACATAGTGGAGTCCATGGCTTACCTTCAAAAACTGGACAAAAACTTTGTTTATCCAGATGCAATGAATGGTTTGCTTACAAAAGTTTACAGTGGGAGAGTCAATTTATCAAAAGGGAAGTGCTGATTCTAAATGCAGTTTTATGTTTTGACAAGAACACTTCTCTGAGTATGAGTGCAATATTACCCTCTTGCCCTGAAAATGCTAGTGTACCTGGGTTTCCCTCTGCTCTGACACCTACAATAGCTGATGGCCCAACTATGGTACATTTATTGCATAGTTGTACAAAGGAATCTAGAGTTCCTGGAATGCCAGTTAGAGACACCACCAAACAATTAGAGTGGCTAATGGAAAGAAAGTCGCTGCTATTCCCTGGTGAGAAGTCTGGAGTTACATCACATTTACAGGATGTTAATGTGTTCTATCTTGATTGTGATGCAATCATAAATATGGTATCAATATTGCCGTCCTGCCCACCAACAGCCTGCTTACCTGGCTTTCCATCAATACCATGTCAGATGTTGGAAGATATGCCAAGTATGATCAATCTGCTACCAACTTGTCCAAGGCATTCCAGAGTTTGTGGAATACCCTCTAGATTCCACAGTGAGTCTGATGAAGCAGAATGGAGTGTAGACAAAAGGCCAGTATGGGAAAGGCCATTAACAAACCTAGGAAGACTGTCAGTAATACATGACTTTAAGATGTGTTTTAGAGAAAAGACAGTGGTCAGTATTATGGTATCAATGTTGCCACCCTGTCCCAAACACTCATATATTCCTGGAATTCCCTCTAAGGTAGTAGAGAAATCAGTCGAGGCTGTGTTGAAAGAAGCTCCCAGCATGTTAAAATCCTTAGGCACTATCCCAAAACACTGTAAAATTCCAGGTCTACCTGCAAAGAATAGTGCAAACAACAATAGTGGTTGGTATCTGGACAGGAAAGCAGTTTGGGAAAACCCATTCAATAGAAGGTACAGAGTTGTTCACCAAGATTTTACAGTGAAGGAAATGTCATATAGGGACAAAGAAATAATGCTGAGTATGCTTCCATCATGTCCACGACAAGCCCTAAACCCTGGATTTCCATCTGCTCCACGACCCCAAACTGTTGATGCCATTGTGGAAAAAAATGCAGACATGGTACAGTTGCTGCCATGTTGCCCTAGACAGTCAAATATCATTGGTTTCCCCTCAAGAGCCTCAGTTAGTTCTGATTCTAAAGTAGAGGGCTGGCCAGTGGTGATGATAAGGACGCAAAGTTGCTGTCCATTTTACAAAAAGTATGGCTCTCCTCACAAAGAGTGTCCTAACATTGTTCTCAGTTCTGGCATCATAGCAGTTCCACAGCCAGACTTAGACCGGCTTTCAAATATGGTAAATATTTTGCCATCTTGCCCAAAGAAAGGTTCTGTTCTTGGTGTACAATCAACACATGTGCACCATTCAGGACTGGGGTGGCCAGTTAAAACACTGCTATTGATGAAGCCAGAGACAAAAACAATTGGAAAGGAAAGAGAAAACCTGATGAGTCAACAGCTGTCACTAGAAGAACATTCCTTTTGTAAGGTTTCTGTCAACAAAAGATCCATGTGGTTTATAGTCCCTAGCCAAAATGTACCAGAGGATGTACATCAAAGAGTGACAACTAAGCCTTTAACCTGTCCTGTTGAGGCAATTGTTCAAGACTTACCATCATCAAATTCTGAAATACAAGTGGACCAGCCATCCTCTAGAGTTAATGGCATTGAGATGTTATGGGATGAGTCCAGTACAACCAGATTAGATCTTGACTCAAAGAAAACAAAATCTGATGTATGTTCACCATTGGAGATGCATAAAGATGACCAGGGCTTTTGGATACCGATTGAGGCTGAAGAAATAGCCTTTCTAGAAAAAGGGTGAGTGAGTTGGAGAGTTGGAGTTGGAGTTCTCTCTGTGATGTCAGTTGGTTAGTTTTTGAAACATGCTTTCCGTTTCTGTTTTCAGAGACTTGCATTGCAGAATGTGGCACTCAGTGCCTGACATGCCACTATTCTTGAGTGTTAGGAAGAGGTGGGTTGCCTTGGTTTGTGCAGTAATGTAATAATGTGATGTAATTCCTCAATAATGCATCTGCTTTATCTCAACACGATCTGACTGACAAATTTACTGCAAGCTTTGCATTTGTTCTGGTGTCACACTTTGTGTAACTAAGTTATTCTGTGGTTCACGAAGTATATACAGCTTTTCCGTCTTGTCACTTGTCATTGTTTCAGCCTCTTGGGTCAAAAGGATACCCAAGAAACAGAGATATCAGTGTTTGAGAAGGGAGGTACTGTTGGCAAGGAAGCAGAGACTGCTGAAGTCACTGTGCAGGATCATGGTTTCATGCCCTCAGAAGAGCCAAATAAAACTTCAGTAGAGTCAATGGATGTCATTACTACAAGTTATGACACTGTGGAACAAGGATGTGTTAGATACTCTGAGAGTGGGTAAGTGTGAAAGAGGGTAATACCTGGTCTCTGCTCATTGATCTAAGTGTAGTTATGTGTGTTGCATGGTTTTAATTTGTAATGCCCTCTTGAGCTAGACTTCAGGTGAATTGTAGCGCTACTACAACTGAGCAAAATGGGTTGCCATAGAGAAACAAAACAATAACATAGCAGCAGAATATAAATCCAAGAATAAATAAATAAAGTAAAATAAATACAAAGAAACAAAGAAATATAGAAAGAAGAAAGGTAAGAACTTGAGTCAACCATCCATAACTTTGATTTTGACAACTCACAAGTATCACAGGGGTATACAGTGAAGAACACTACATTATTACCCAGTAATAATGCTGGTTTTACAGCACTGGCTGTTGTAACACTAGTTGTAAAATCAAACCAAGCAAATGCTGTGGCATGATGTTTTGTGAGCAGCTTTTCATCTCTAGTAAATGGTTGTTTTAATACAGGCTTGAGTGAGTTTGGAGTGAAAAGCATTTGTTGATGCATGCATGCATGCATTTTAAAAGCTGGAATATACAGTTTTCTTTCCAACTTTGCTATAATATGTAAATGAGTTGTAATTATACAGTTAGCACTGACTGCTTTCTCACAGACTGATTGAGGTACACTGTACCAAACATGCACTGTATAGTAAAATATGTAAAATTATAGTGTTGGTTATGGGAATGCTCTTTACAATATTATTTTTATTTGGCATCTTCCAACAGTAAACTTTGACTATAACTTTGTATTTACCTTCTCTTTAGACATGAAAACATGATTTCACTACAGCCATCATGCCAAATTGCTGCTGCTGCAACAGAACCCCTTTGCCAAACCCAAATATATAATGCTGAGCAGCAGTTAGAAAAACATCCCACAAACAGGACCATAATATGGGAGGAGCTACCAAAGGCAGCTACAGTCAAATGCCCAACAGACAAGACCATACTATGGGAGGAACTACCAAAGGTGACTACAGAGTTAACTAGAAACACATCAGAGGACAAAAAGAAAATTATAAAAGAAATGGTCAGTGTGGTCCCGTCGTTCCCTGGTGCTGCCATGATCACAAGTCTCTCTACCACGATGTTAGACACTGAAGATGAAATGAAGAGAAAGACAGAAGTTGGAATGGCAGGTCTGTTGCCGATATGCCCAACAGTTAGCAGGAAATTTGAATTTACTGCTACTGCTAACCAAACTGAATGCCTACTAGACAGTGATAAGGGGGATAAGTCATCAAAGGATAATGAAGTTCTAACCACTGAGGGTGCTCTTCATTTAAAAGGACATGCAGATCTAGTAGAACAAATAGTGGATAAAAAGTCTTCCTGTGCTAGTGCACAATGTATGCCATATTATGTGAAGTCTGAAATTGAGTCCAAACAGTACACTTTCTTGGAAACCTGTCCCAGTGTGACATACATTGCTGGCATGCCGTCCAAACTGCCCGTAAAAGAAGAACAACACTGGAATAAAGATCAAAAGCCAAAGTGGGAGAACCAATCAAAAATGAAAGAACTATTACAGCCATATGCCTCAAAGGATGATGAAAAGAACAAGAAGGAAATGGTTTCACTGGTTCCGTCTTGCCCGAGAGAGGCTAGAAATCCAGGGTTCCCATCTGTACCACAATGCAGTTTAGTTTTTTATGGCCCAAACATGGTGAATATTTATCCTAGTTGCCCAAGTGTATCCAATATACCTGGTTCACCATCTATCAGTGAAGCCAATAAAGGATCATGGGTATCACAAAAGGAACCACTTTTGAAGAAGAAAATGAAAACTGGACTTGTTTTCATGACAGTGTCACCAAAAGAGAAGGATGAATTTAAGCTAATGGGAGCTTTGCTACCAACTTGCCCAAAACATTCTTGTATACCAGGCTTCCCCTCAAGTCCACATCCTACTATAGCACATCATGGATCAGATATGATGAGCCTTTTAAGCTCTTGCCCCACAACTTCTTTTATTGATGGTATTCCATCTTTAATAGAACATTTGAGCAAAAGCTGGGCTACAGATTACAAACCTCTAGGGGCCACACGGCCAAAAGTTGATACAGTCATGATTAAAGATAGACTTTACAGTGATAACATTCAGACTATGTCAGCTTTAGCACCAACTTGTCCAAAAGAATCTTGTATCCCTGGAATTCCATCTGCTATGGAACCTACACTAGTCTATAAAGGGTTTAGTAGGGTCAATATCCTTTCATCTTGCCCGGCCACCTCCAGTATGGCTGGTTTTCCTTCGATGCAGAAAGCTGACAGCAAAGACTGGAACTCTATTCATGTGCCATTATGGGAGAAGCAAATTAAAAAGGAGACTATATTGCTACTGGAGAACAATAAAATTGATGAAGACCTGAAAGGAGTCGTTTCTCTTGCACAAAGTTGCCCCAGAGAATCAAAAATCTCTGGGTTTCCCTCTGTACCAAATCCCAGAATGATTAATGTTGTTCACATGACAAATATGGTCAGTCTTTCAAGCATGTGCTCAAAAATGTCACAGATACCAGGATTTCCATCATTTTGTAATTCAGAAGAGTGGACAATCAGCAGGGAACCACTATTTGAACCAAGAATGAAAGACAAGCAGGTGTCATTGATTGACAGACGTAAAAGTCATAGGAGAGCAATGAAAGCAATGGTTTCCCTTGTACCATCCTGTCCAAAAGAGGCACGGGTGTCAGGATTTCCTTCCCATCCAAATCCTGTAACTGTGTATTGTGCACAAAATATTGTCAGCATTTTTACATTGTGCTCTCAAGTTTCCAGAATACCTGGATTCCCGTCAGTTTATGGGGATATGAGTGTAGGATGGGTAACAGAAAAGGGGTCACTGCTGAAGAGGCTACCAAAGAAGGAAGTCATATTTGACACATCAAATGACAACAATAGGATAATGAAGAATATGGTTTCCTGTGTACCATCCTGTCCTAAAATGTCAAGTATTCCTGGTTTCCCATCTGTTCCAAATGCCAAAACAGTGTATTATGGCCTAAATGTAGTCAATCTCCTTCCTTTGTGCCCCCCAGTCTCTATCATACCTGGGTTTCCATCAGTTGAAGGGAACAAAGAAGAAGGATGGGTTGCTGAACAGGGTTCATTGATGCACAGACCCCAAAAGAACACTCAGTTTAGGATTAACAGCTCACCAATTAACATAGACAAGCCAAACAACATGCTTGCTTTGGTCCATTCTTGCCCGGGCTCATCAAAGATTCCAGGCTTCCCATCTGTCCCTCAATACAATATGCTGAGTCTTGTATCTGTTTGCCCCAAAGTGTCCAGTTTGCCTGGATTTGCATCTGTTGAAGGGGCTTCAAAATTCCAGTGGCTTTTTGATGCACACACTTTGTTTGATAAGCCGTCAAAGGAGACACTTTTTGTGATACATAGTCAAAATCAAGTCCAATCAAGAGAGACTATGAAGACAATGTTGGCCTTAGCACCATCTTGCCCAGAAGCATCCAGGACCGCTGGGTTTCCCTCTGCACCCCAAACCAAATCCAAGATTGAACCCAATATGATAAGTTTTGTACCTTGCTGCTCCAGTGCTTCAAGTCTCAAAGGATTTGCATCCATGACTACAATCCCAAGCACAGGGTGGCTAAATGAAACAAAACCAATTTTGATAAAGCCTCAAGAGACAAGGGCAGAAATGATTACGTTACTTTCTGGACAGGACAAGCTATATTGCGACAACATGAAAAGCATGGTGACATTAGTAACTTCCTGCCCAAAAGAGGCCAGAGTACATGGCTTTCCCTCTGCTCAAACTGTAAACATGCAACCAAACATGGTCAGCTTATACCCATCTGCTCCATGTGTTTCATCTGTCCCAGGTTTTCCATCAGCAAGAATGCTTAGCTCTGAATGTATAAATATACAAACTAGGACAACACAAAGCAAGCCCCTGTTTGAGAAGCTGCGGAATGACAAAATCTTTCTAATTGCAAAATTTCGAGCAAAACACAAGCATACACAAGATGAAATGAAGTATATGGTTGCAATGGCTCCATCATGCCCCCAAATTACTAAAATTCCTGGGTTCCCCAGCATTTCACAATTGAATCCAACTGAGAAAGAAACACTGACTAATCCATTCCCTTCTTCTACTGAGAAGCATACATCACAAGAATTACCAAGTCAGTCACATCTCAAAGACACAAGAATTCCTGATGTTCCCTCCACATCTATTAGCAACCCCAACACAGCACTTGCATATGGTGAGACATTTAAAGTGTTAAGATCAAGGTCACATTCCCCTTTGTCTTGTTTCTTTTCTTGTATTTTACTATGTTTGCTTTTATGACAGAGGAAAAATTCAAAGGCGGTGCAAAGCAAAACATAGACCTTTGTGTAGATAAAGGGTAAGTAGATGAGCCCAGTGCTCTTGAATTGTTTGCTGTGAAATGGGCCAGTTTAGTGCTTGCCTAACATGGACTGTTTGGACCAATAAAATTGTAGCTTTCATAACTTGACAATACAGTGCATGGAAAAATTCAGAATCTCTGTGAACACAATTTTCTTATTGTATTGCTTCATGAGTTCTGTGGATCACACTTTAAAATCCTTTATATTTGGGTCTTCAGCCAATCACAGATAGAGAGAATAGCAGCAGAGGAAACCCAAACAGTGAAGAAACCATTGGACACATCAGAGGCAGCGGGTGTCTTGGGTTGGGAAGTATTGGAGGCAGAGGGAACAATAACAGAAAAACAGAAAGAATCTACTTTGTCAGCAAAACAGGAAGACACCTCAGGATTAGTAAAGGCTATTGTGGGTGTTTTCCACAAAGGGTAAGTGTAAGACTGGTTTGAAACTAATAGCGTGAAGCATGCAACATAGACTACATCGATTATTAAATGGAGACTGTCCACTTGCAGGTGTTACATTTCAAAGTTTGGAGTAAAGTACTGCATTAGCATGGTAATGCATTTTACTTTCTCCAGTAGTCACTGGTTTCTATAAGTAGCTCCGTGTTTATTGAGACCAGTGTGTTTGCATGGTTCCAGGTTTCACTCACTCACTCTAGTATCCATGTCTCAGTTATGAAACAGTAGCATCCATTTTGGGGCCATCTACCTCTACTTTGGCGGAAGAGGATCACCAACCTAAGGCTGTCTCTTCTATGGATCTGAAAGACAAGACACAAACTCCTTTAGATGAGTGTTTTTCAGATTTTGTGGACAACAGTATGCTCATACAGAAGATAGAGGGCCAGTTTGAAGACATTCACACCAAACATAGCATTGAATATCTTACAAGTGCAGAGCCTTACATGTGGGACTTGGTAGGTGGTCGATCAGCATCTCCATCACCAGCTCCTGACAGTGATGACGGGTTTTTGGTTTGTGCAAGCATGAAGAAATGGCCACCGCTGACAGAGGCAGATATCACTGAAATATCGAAGGACAATAGTGAACAAGTAAAGGAACAAGAAGTTGCTTTTGATAAATGGCATACAAAGAAGAGATCATTTACAGGGCAGGACTCTATTCAAACACCATTACATGTTGAAAATGTGTTAGCGGGACATCAGACTGTGACAGAACAGGATGAGGTTAGGACAGTGTCAACTTCTTCACAGCTGGATAAAGGGTGAGTGCTGGGGGACAATGATCCTTGTTGCACGGTGTGACAGTGTACATGTTCTGCATTTTTGGTGATAACATTGTCTCTTGTCCTGCTTATAAGCGCTTACTACTCTGGAAATTGTGATGGTCAACTATTTGGAAAATCTGTTAAGGATTGCCATTTTGATATGGAATGGTAGTACTGCTTTTTTGGTAGCGTTTTACATAGGTGTTGTAAACTGAGGTTAATTTTGTCTTTGTGTCTTCTGTGTGCTGCAGTGTTTCAGTGACATGTGCATGTACATAAGTAAAGCAGAATGTTGAAAAATAAGGTCAGTTTTGGTTCTGTGTAATAAGATCTGGTTGCTGTCTTTTCCACTGAGGAGATTAATATTGGTTGGAAATAGGGTGCATGGTACACCTATATTTATATAGTAAAGAACAGCAAATTCTGAAGCTTGTCCTTTCTTTTCCTTAAGCCCCCAAAAATCAAGCATGGGAGAAATTCCTGCTACTTCTCTGCAGCCTACATCAAATGAGTCACTGACAGATGCCAGTTCAAATAAAGAGATACTGATGGATAAACCCTCAGCTTTTCAGAACATTACTCTAATCGGACCGCAAGCTGATATTGCTGTCCCTCAGCGAGGCAGAAGACCTAGGAGGAAAGTCCCAGAACCTCAGCAGCAAGGGTGTGATCAAGAAAAAGAGACTGCTCCATTACGACCACTCAGAAGGAAGGATAGTTTAACACCAGACCGCAAACAAAAATCTTATAGTTTGTCAGTCAAGCTCCTCCCTGAGGTTATTCCAGTTCAGTTTGTAAGGGAAGATGCTCCTGGTGAGATAATTCCTGCACAGCCTGTCATTGACCAATCTTCCAGCATAAAGAAAGGAGACAGTAGCGTTCCTCTAGATGTACCTCAAAATAAAAATGCCCAAGAACATGTACAAGTAACACTATACACTGGTGATCAAAGAGAAAAAGAGGAAGCTGAATCTGTGCAAATATGTATGGATGTTGTTCCTCCTCCCCGTGTGAAAAGAAGAGATGGTAGTTTGCCACCTGAAACTCCAAAAACAACTGCCCCTTGCAAGCCTCTGAGGAGAAAAGATGGTGTCACTAGAGGGACATTTGTTTCAAAAACTAATGACCAACAGGATTTGAAAGTCAGTTCTGCTTTGAAAACTTCTGATCCTGTTCCTTCTCAACCTTGTGAGAGAAGCTCTGATATCTCAGGTGCTCTTGAACCTTTACAGAGCATTGATAAACCTAGTCAAACGGCCACTGAAATGATCCCCAGTCTGGTTAGGAATGCATCTCTACAGGCAGACACCGAATTGATTGGCTCAAAAGACTTAGAACAAACCTCTTTTACTCCCGAATGGTCCAATAAAGCTTCTTCTCACAAAATTCCTCCCTCGAAAACAAAAGGAATTGAGAGCATCGCCCCAAATTCAGAACCAGACATATTTCATGTTGACCAAACTGCTTCTCTCTCAATCATCAAGAAGATACGTCTCCCACAAAGTGGCAAGAGATTGCCTTCAAGAAAATCTGTCAAAATTGACAGTGACAAAGAAATTATGGAACAAAATTTAAATGTTGCAAACAAGGAGTCTGTAAAACCAGTCCAGATTGACAACGCTGTTATGGCTGATATAGAAGAAATAAAGCAGTCAAATATAGCTGGTGATGCATATGTTGATATAGTCAATGTTACATCTTCTCAGAAATCAGAGAATGTATCAGAGATAGCACAGGCAGAGAAGCACAAACAAACAACAATTTGTATACTAAAGCCTCATGTGAGGAAACGGCTCAGCTCCTTCCCAGATGTTACATTTACGGAGAGCACACCTTCCCATGGAGAAGAGCCACAGGCAGCAAGGCAAGGTGGTTCTTTATTCATTTCCTCAACAACTAAAGAATTGACAAAGATGCAACACAGACAAGGCTTACCCCTTCTGCCTCTGGGGGATCAGCCTTCTACATCTGCAGAAGAAGTGGCCCCTGTAAAGTTGAGGAGAAGCAGATTGACCATTGAGAGCAGTGTTCAAGTACAGGATAATGATATTTCAGAAAAGTCTCCAGGAGATTTAAGCTTGCCTGTACCAAAACCAAGAGTAAAAAAACGTCTCAGTGGTTCATTCCAAGATGACGTTACAATTTCTGGCTCACCAACTCCTGGCCTACCAGACACAGGTAATGAATCAGTCCATAAGAGTGAACAGTCAAGCTTTCCTGTTCCATTGCCTCGGGCCAAGAAACGTCTTAGTGCAACATATTCAATTACAACACCACCTATAGACAATGTATCCTCCCTAGAAATGGAATCTTCTCAGAGAAACCAAGAAGATACATCTGTCACTTGCAAGGAAACAAAGGAAGGCTCAACAACGCTGGATTCAAGTGTGATCTCTGAAGAAGGTTTTGTCACAATCCAAGGAGAAGGTGATGTTACATCAAAGTTGGAAAGGGAAGTTTTAGCAGCAATGAGAGAAGAATTTCCACAGGCAGACTCTGTAGAAGACAATGAGAAGGCACTGGATGAAATCATTGAAGGCTGGACCTTTACAGATAAACCTGTTACTGATGACTTAGAGAAGGCTGCAGAGGCAATGTCTGAGCAGGCTGACATTGAAAAGGTCCTAGAAGCAGAGGTTGATAGGTCCCTTGTTTCTACTGTAGCATCTTCTCAGGATGACTGGCTGCATGTAGAGAATGATAAAGACAGTGAACCAATGGAAAAAAACTCAAGGAAGGACATAGGGGATGAAGAGTTGGACTTTGGCTTTGTGTCTGTAGATGTAGCCACTGGTTGTTTAAAGGAAGAAAGGTAAGATTAATGAGTACACATTAAGGTGTGGGGGGGGGTGCACTCATAACATGAGATACATGAGATCTGTGTGTTTTACACACATTCTACCCAATAAAATGTTTTATTTCCATGTATTTTCTAATTATCTAACATGCTTCTGTGTATGTGGTTTCATTAGCAAAATCATCATCAATTACTAGTGTTTTGTTGTCATGACATATTTTTAATTTTGTTACTTTTTTATTTTTGTGTGTCTCTCCAGGCAAAGGAAGAAGGCAAAAGAATCTCCAGGTGGTTCTTACCAAGACAACAGCAAGTCACAGGTTGCTGACCTCCACCAAGCTAGTGAACCAACAACACCTCAGAAGAGACCTGCAGATGGGGCTGCCTCTCCAGAAGTATGTTGTTGTTGTTCTGCTGTAATTATTAACGATCAAATGACTGTGTGTAATGTAAAGATGTTTCTCAAAGTGAAGAAACCCATAGAGAATTATCACCAACTCTGCAATTCTCCTCAGTTTCAAGGAGATTGTTAGCCTCTTTCAGCTTATTATTTTGGTTTTATGACCTACACATTTTGTTCTCATTAACCTTATTTGCAGCAGCAGCAAGCAGCCATTTTCAGAAAATAACTGATAAACCCATTGTCTACCTGCCTATCACCAAACGGCAGACAGACAAAGTTACCAACTAGCTTGTGAGGAAAGTGGAAAGTGATAAGGTGGACAGAAGAACAGCTCCAAATTATTGCTAATATTTTTTTCTGGTGGATCTGTTAATCAGCAATAAAACACTATATACTTGTTTAATAACTTTTCCTGGTAGTTTGGCAAGTGTATTTTAATTTAATAAGAATCTTATTTCAATTACAAATGCTGACTCACTTGATGGATCCATGATGTTTTTGTACTGTGGTATCTTAGGGTGGGTTCACAGCTAAAGGTCTGGTTCCTCAATTAAATCAATGCAATGCAAATTGTTTAATTTTTCCAACTGATCCAAACAGTCCAGAAATAGTAAACATAAGTAGGGATGCTCGATATTG